ATTGTACAGAGAAGGATGAGACTTCTGAGGTGGCTGAGATTCCAGGGCAGAGAGGAGGCTCAGGACAGGGTGATATCAGAAGGATGACTGGCAACCAGATAGGGATGGAACATCCAGGACAAAGGCCTCCTTGACTGCCTCCTACCCCTTTCTGCCTCTCCTTCAGTTACCTCAGAGTCCATCCTTATGCAGAAGTCTGTCCTTCTCTACTCCTGAAATGTTGACTGGAGAATAAACAGTAGTTCCAGACAGCTAGCTGACAGAAGTTTTTAATATGATGCCCTTAAATATCCAGTCCCTGAACCAGCAAAGCATATACAGGCAGAATGCTTTTGACATCTTTGATCTGGGACAGTTTCCTGCCCCAGGAAAGCATATATTAAATATTCACTATTTATAATTGAACACTCACTAATCCGAGCATTTAGAGCTTGAAATATCAATTGCATGAATTACTATTGTAATAGTTCTAGTGTTAGGTAAAAACTCAAACACTTACTAAAGAATAAATTTGTCTTATATTTGAAGTTAACAGCTGCAAACACATAACATGGACTGTGTTCTGCGATAAACTAGTATCTCAGAATTATTCTGCTGCTTATATCATGAATTCTTTTCTTGATGCAGGTAATTGCAAATAAAATGAATACTACATATGGCTCAGAAATTGTGTTATTGACGGATGGAGAGGACCCAAGCATAGCAGCTTGCTTTAATCTGGTGAAACAAAGTGGGACTAAAGTTCACACCATTGCACTGGGGCCACAGGCAGACAAAAATCTAGAAAAGCTTTCAGAACTAACAGGTAAATAGTCTAAAAATTGCTCTCTGGCATGTTCAAGTATGAAAATGTAAAAGCATAGCAATGCCATCAGTCTGGAATTTTAGATTTCAATGTAGAATTCTAAAACAAATTAATTTTAAAAGAAATTTTATTATCATGAGCGGCTTTTTTTAATGCAAGCAAACAGAACTCTTCAGATCCATAGTTATCCTTTAAGAGCTGTCTTGGTTTAAAACATGACAATACCCTATGACAAAAGAGATTTTCTTATGATGTTGTTCTATAACATGAAAAGAAATGTCTAGAGTTTTATTTCTGGCATTACATGCAATGACTAGAACTTTCTAGAGGCTTACTTATAAGCATCTTTTAGTACATAAAGAATAATGATTTTCTCCAGCTGTTGCAGCTGAAGTGCACTGGCTAGGAAACTGTAAGCACAGTGACTACCCTTGTCATTAGCAAGCGTAGCTGAAGAATTAGTGTGAAAACAACCATTCGAAAACTATCCATAGGGGTGTTGCTTCATGCTACTGCACGTGCAAGTGCCAGGGAAAAATAAGAACTTCTTCAGTGGAACTAGAAAGCAAGCTGACTCCAGACAAATACAGTGAATAAAGATTCTTATTTGAAGGTGCACATGCTGTGCATTTTCAGAGTACAATCCACTTGTTTTAGCAATTTAAATAACTTGGAACGCCCTTATACTCTTCAACATCATTAGATCAACACAACAAGGACAATAGTGGAGTCCAGAGTTTAATTCTGTCCTGGCTTGTATTTTAAGGCAGAATTTGTTATTTAAGCTCCCCTTATGGAGAATTTATTAACAATGATTTGTGAGGCAGAAAGAACGCAGATGGTCCTTTCCTGCTGAGAAACGAAAGTCAGTTTTGCAAAGTTACTAAATAGATGTCTCAAGTAAGACCTCCTCCAGCTCATATGACTCCATGTGTTCTCTCATGAGACAGAGCCATACACCTGATGTAACCTGCACACCTCACATCAGCTTGTGCAAGAGGGACAAGGGTGAGAGGCGTTAGGTGGTAGGGGAGAGGGGCTGTGGGCAGCTCCCCAGGGCTCAGCAGGGCTCAGCAGTCACTCCCCCACTCTGGGATGACCTGTGAGTTGGGAGCACAGTGATGGCTCAGTTTATGTGTGGCATGTATGATCCTAGTTTGAGAGAGACTTGCAATCTGAAGTGCAGATGGTGAGGCACAAGCCTCAGTAGAACAGTATGAAGCCATATTCACAAGGCACTCATTAACAGCCCTGCACTAGCATGAGAACTTCCAATGGACTAGAGCTGCTTGAACTCAGACTGCATGCAAAGAGATCTAAACTTCATGGTTGGAAATAAAGACAATCTGGATTTTAAGAGTAAAAAATCATGGGATGCTACTGTGTTTTTCCTACGGAGGTATTTCAGAGCAGAATTTCACTGAAATGATAATGTGTGACTCCAAAAGCATTAGAAGTCTAAAAATGCTGTACCTGATGACATCCTGCATCTTTACCAATGAGAGATAAAAATAATTGATTGCTCAAGCCAGATTTTACCATGACACATGCATTAACAGTTTAATAAAAAGATACATTTTGATTTTGTAACAAATTGGCTGCCTCAGTAGAACATTCAGCACCAGAAGTCACATAAAACATAGCAATTTCAGAGTCAAAATTAGAGTTTCTAATTCTTTTGCTCTTTCAGGAGGTTTAAAGCTTTGTGCTCAAGATGGAGTTGTCCCCAGCAAATTAATTGATGCGTTCACTGCAATTACATCAGGAAATGGAGATATTTCCAAACAATCTATTCAGGTTTGAATTTCAACACTTCTTTTTCCTCCTATGCTTTGAGATGATCAGTAATTGAATGAATTTAGACATTAATGTGCTCTGTGGCTCAATTTGGAAAAAAACCCAAGGATATTTCTTAGTGAACTCCTATACTTCACTTCAATGAAATAAATACACGATTTTCGTAACTTATATAATCCTTGATTTCAAAAAACTCAAAGTCCAAGAGACTTTGAGAGAAAAGCAATCAGAAATCCCACTGGATGTTTAGTTCACTCCTATCTGAAACATTATCTTTTAGAGCATTTTCACAGTCTAACTTAAGCAACAAAGATACAATTAAAAATACAACTTCTCTCCTAAGCCACATGTATAATTGTAATATATAAACTTTTAGACTTTTAATCTAGGACAATTGTTAATTAGAATTTAGCAATGCATTCCTCTTTTTGTTAATATTTTAACACAGATCTGGTCTTACGTTTTATCCAAAATATACCCCTCACAAAGACAGCTTGATTATAAGCAGCAGTTAGTGTAGCTTGGAAAATTGGGTCTGGGATGTTTTGAGTTGTTATACTGCCTCTAGTTGACTCTTTTGTCCCACCTATACAAGGAAAAAGAACTAAGTTTATGCCAGGGTATTTTTTAATTGTGGACTTGATTGTTCATAAAATAGGAGTGAGGAAATTGCACAATTTCATTTCAATTTGAATAAAGGAAATATTCTTTACATCTGTCTTCTAAATATTGTCCTCTGTTCTATTTTTATTTCCCTCTCCACTCATAAGCCTTACAGTCATATGTGGAGACATTTTCTTTCTTTTTCAGGATTTTGAGGCAGACAAACTGCAGTGGAAATACAGCTTACTGGCACGATGCTTTAGATAGGCAGATAAATAGATACAGAAATGAAAGACTATAACTTACTCTGTTTACCATAATTTTACACTTGAAATCAATGTTACTATGCAAGCAGCCATTTCATAAAGTGAACCTGGGATTTTATTAGTTGTCTTCATTCAACAGCTGGCAAAATAGCTCTTCATTCTCCTGTAGGTAGAGAGAGCAGAACTAGAAAGACTCCCATCTTCTCTATATAACTCTGAGTTAGAAATACTTAAGCAGGGATCTTTTCTCATAGTAGTTTCCAAAAGGCGTAAATGCTTTTCAATTCTCCCTTCCAAGACTAATCCATTTTAAGTCAGCAATGAGTGGATACCATATTGTGTAATGGACAAGGAATCACTCTGAAAATATGTTAAATGCTACTTTACTAAATAGCAATAAGACAAGTTTTATTTCTCTAACAACAGCTTGAAAGCGAAGAGTTAGTTGTTCAGCAGTCTGCATGGATGAATACTACTGTGCCTGTTGACAAAACTGTGGGAAACGACACTTCCTTCAGCATTGCATGGAACCTGTCTCAGCCAGTTTTTTTCCTGAGGGACCCCAAAGGAAAAGAATATGGAAGCTCAGACTTTAAAATTGATAATTCAAACCCCTACACAGCTAGACTCCATATACATGGCACTGCAGAGGTAAAGACTCAACATTTTCTGAGCTAACATTCCCTATAGACTAGCATACAGATTTTCTTTAATTATTTTTTTATTATGGCCCTGTTAGAACATGAAGCTTTTTCATCAGTTTTTATACTTTTGTATTTTATTTACAGGTGGGTGATTGGCAGTTCTATATTAAAAATGTTCATACAGCAGCTCAAGCCATATCAGTAACAGCTATCTCTCGACCAGCATGTTTTAATGTTGCTCCTGTGATTGCTACAGCTCACATGAACAGGGCAAATAGAGCATTTAATCCAGTGGTTGTTTATGCAGAGGTTAGCCAAGGGTTTTGGCCTGTTCTTGGTGCAACTGTGACAGCCACCATTGAGAAGGATGATGCTGTAGCAGTAACCCTTGAACTTCTTGATAATGGCGCAGGTAAGATTCCGTATACATAGTAAGAACATTTGCAATTATGCATTTTGGAATCCAAGTCTGCAAGTTCCCCTCAGATTTATCACTGAGGGCTGAGGCACAGCTATGCACTATATCAAGAAAAAAATGAAAAGGGATTCAGAGAATCCTACTGGTTTAGGATGGAAGTAAGCTACAAAGCTTGTTCTTGCTGAGGGAAACAAAGACCTTTAACAAACATCTTTATCTGCAAAATTGTTCCACTTTCTTTCCTGTGTTATTACTGAGGGTGAAAGCAGAAGAAGTGTTCATAGTAGAGGTTATGTTGCTCATATATACCTTCTGAAAGTGTACTTCATGTAATCATCTGCCCTCAAGAGGCAAGCTAAAAAGAAAATGAACTGTTTTGTTGGTCCATCTCATATTCTATGAAGCTGGACTTCAGTCTTAAAATTAGTTCACTAAACGTTAGCTTCAGAATCACAGAATGGTTAGATTTGGAAAGGACCTTAAGATCATCCAGTTCCAACCCTCACACTAGACCAGGTTGTGCCCAATCTGGCCTTGAACACTGCCAGGGATGGAGCATTTACCACTTCTTTGGGCAACCTGTTCCAGCGACTCAGCACCCTCACATCTAGATCTAACATCCTTAGATCTAACCTGAACTTCCCCTGTTTCAGTTTGAACCCATCACCCCTTGCCCTATCACTCCAGTCCCTGATGAAGAGTCCCTCTCCAGCATCCTTGTAGCCCCCTTCAGACACTGGAAGCTGCTCTGAGGTCTCCAGCAGCTTCTCTTCTCCAGGCTGAACAGCCCCAATGTTCTCAGCCTGTCTCCATACAGGAGCTGCTCCAGCCCCTGATCATCCTCGTGGCCTCCTCTGCACTTGCTCCAGCAGCTCCATGTCCTTCTTATGCTGAGGACACCAGCCCTGCACACAGTGCTGCGAGTGGGGTCTCACAAGAGCAGAGGGACAGGATCCCCTCCCTAGACCTGCTGCTCACACTCCTGTTGATGCAGCCCAGCACACAGGTGGTTTCTGGGCTCAAGTGACACTGAAGCAGCTCATGTGCAGTTTCTCATTGACCAACACCCCCAAGTCCTCCTCAGGCTGCTCTGAATCACTTCTCCACCCAACCTGTAGCTGTGCCTGATATTGCCCCAACCCAGCTGCAGGACCTTGCACTTTTATCTCTTTTTTTTAATGTTAAATAATTGCGTTATTATTATTTTCAAGAATACTCTTTCTTGGAGCAATAGTAAGACATTCCTGGCATTCAGCATCCCTCAATCTCTTTTCATCTCCTCTCTTTCTTTTCTCTCACCACTGCTGTAGGCCTGTAGCTTTGTACGTTCGGCAGCAGCCAGCAGTGCCTCCTAAATAGCAGTGCCTATTTATATATGAATAGCAAAAATAACCTTGTTTACCAGCAGGTACTTTGAGTTATTAATTCTCAATAATTCTATACCAAGGTGCTGACATGATAAAGAATGATGGAATCTACTCAAGATACTTTACTTCTTTACAAGGCAGTGGAAGATACAGTCTAAAAGTGAAGGCCCATGGGAGAAATGCAATCACCAGACTTAGCCTCAAGCAAAATCAAGCCTCGCATAATCCAGGCTACAGAGAAAATGGTACGGAGAGTTTATGAAATAGACAGTTCTTTGCCTGATTTGTATGTAGGGGTGTGTAAAGGTTTAGCAAATGAGATCATTTACATTCACAAAAGTAGCATTTTATCTTAAAAGATGTCATATTACTAAAAAAAAAATAAAAAAAAAATGCCCAAACAAAACAAACCAGCTCCAACTACTGTTTCCTATGTACAGGAATAGCGTAAAATCTTGTCTTTAATTATTTATCTTCTTACTTTCTTATACAGCTATGAGAAGGATAAATATTGCTCAGAATCTCTATTTCAGCATCTCACAACAGGAATTTCAAATCTATCCGTCTTGAGACTTTAAAATGGAGATTTGGGCTAAATAAGTTCAGCATGCAATATTAGTATACAAACTACTGCTCCTAGAAATCTTAGCTTTTGAGATTTCTTCATTGATTAGTACTTTTTCATCTTAATGCTCAAAAGAAGTTATCACATTTTAATATTCTTACACTTTTACATTGTGAAATTCAGAAAAATCAGCATAAAAATTGTCTAAAACCTCACAAAGTATAGTCTGCATAACCAAAACTTTCTTAAGGCCTGCAATATGGGTAAAGAGGTGGATGAAACTATCTTATTGTAGCCTTGGCTCACCAACATCTGAAACCTGCTTTACTGGTGGCATCATTTCTAATTTTTACACATGTCGGACTTTGTCTGGTTTTGGGGTTTCCTGAATTTTATGCTGAGAATCCTGAGATCACCTTATTTTCTGTCTTTACTTCACTAATTTCTACTATTTGAATAAGCTAAAGAAAACTTACAGGATGAGAAGAGATAATAACAATGAAAAGAAAATGCAATTCAGAGTTCTGTCACGATGAAAGCTGAAATATGTTTTAAACAGGTAAAATTTACATGACTGCACCAAGACCTGAATCTGCTGATAAAGAAATCCAAGTCAAGCTGGGAAGTTTCAGCAGAATCTCAACAGGTTCTCTTGTAGTGAATATGGGAGATCCTGCTCCTATTTATCCGCCCTGTAGAGTTACAGACCTTCATGCTCGTATAGAAAACAAAACAATAGTGTTGTCTTGGACAGCTCCAGGAGGTGACTTTGACAACGGAAAAGGTGAGTCAGACATCACATTTCTGTGAGATGAGGTTGATATTTTTATTTGGAAGGACATACCCTCAGAATCACCACTCAGGGGTGAGGGCTACATCTTTCCTACCTGAAAACGTAACCCGACAGTTACCCTGTTGCATGGTACCTGGTTTAGTTCTCTTTGGTTTTCATGTTAAAAAACCCCCCAAACAACCAACAAGTAAACCAAGGAATATTATACACAAATCAAATAAATAAAATTGTAGTACAACCACTAGAGACTTTAGCAATAAGTCTTAGTCCATGTCTGTGCATAATTCAGACAAGAGACTCAGCCAACGTGGGCAATACAAAGCTTTAGTCTCTTTACAAAGACGCAGAAGGACCACAGATATGCAGTAATGTTCTATCCAAAATACTCCTTTTAAGGTTGTTGCACAGGAAAAATGAAAACTAATTCCAGATGAAATGTACAAGCATTTCCTTGCATAAGCCAGAGACTGTATGTTAAAATCTACAGTGTACAGTTATGCAGATTACAGTTTCAGATGAAAATCTTACATTTATCCAAAATTTTCAATAACCAGCCACACAAGGAAAAAAACCCTAAAAAACCCAAACCTCAACTTCTTTCATTGTTATTCAGCAACTCTATGTCAAAAAACTTTTATCCTAAAGCTATTGCACTATAGTTTAAAATAGCAGGTCCTGCACTGGTCTGGAGCCAAGGATAACATGCACAGCTCTCTACTATCTAAAGAGGTAAAGATATTCATAAGAGCAAGAGAGGGGAAGAGAGGAAAGCCTTGAAAACCTACAGACTTGAAATAGAAACAGCAGAACACCCTCCCACCCCAGCCAAGTAACCAAACACATTTATAGCAATGTAACTACCAGTTCTTTGATTATAAATGAGAGAACCATTTTGTGTCTTTCACAGTTTTTACTATCAAAACCTTAGAGTCATAGAATCACAGAATCAACCAGGTTGGAAAAGACCTTTAAGCTCATCCAGTCCAACTGCTCCCCAGCAGTGCCAAGGCCACCACTAGCCCATGGCACTGAGGCCTTGTCTACATGGGGTGTGAGCACTTGCAGGGACGGTGACTCCAGCACTGCCCTGGGCAGCCTGTTCCAATGCCTGAGCACCCTCTGGGCAAGGAATTGTTCCTCATCTCCATCTAAACCTGCCCCAGTGCAACTTGAGGCTGTTTCCTCTTGCCTTGCTTGGGAGAAGAGACCAACCCCACCTCACTACGTACCTTGTGCTAAGAGAGAAAATACAGATCAGATGCAAGGCCTGCCCCTGCTATCTACACATATATTTTAATTGCCATTTCATCTTATGTTTGTATTTGGACAACACAGCTTCTCATTCAGCTACATTTTGCACAGATCTGCACAAAGCTAGGAGTATTGGTGAAATAATATCTTTAAGGCACATTCAATTTCAATTTTTAATCAAGGAGTTCCCAGACCCAGCCATAATAGATCTTTGACAGTAAGGCTTAGAAACAAACTTGCCAACCCTCCATGCTGAGCAATAGTCAGCAGTAAACCAGGAATCATTAGCACATTCTTTTTATAAAATGGCTCTAGAATTACTATACTGTCACTGCAAGCAAGGATATTAAAACATTTATATTTACTTGCTATTAACATGCTTTTTTTCCCTCTAGCTGATCACTACATAATAAAAAGCAGTGAAAATCTTCTGGACCTAAGGAATAACTTTGATCGTGCTACTTCTGTGAATTGCTCTAATCTCATACCTAAGGAAGCTGGTAGAGAAGAATCATTTGAAATTAAACCAGAAAGTTTCGTAACAGAAAACGGCACCATAATGTACTTTGCTATACGTGCTGTTGATGATACCAACTTGATTTCAGAAATGTCTAATATAGCCCAAACTGCATGGTTCCTTCCTCCAAAAGCATTTGTGCCTTTAGATCATCAAGGCAACAATAACGGTGCCAACATTGCAGTAACAGTGCCAATAGCAGCTCTGTGTGTAGCAGTTGCCTGTACTATTGTAAATGCAACTCTGTGTTTTTTTAGCAGAAAGAAGGGAAGACTGGATATTGAAAAAATGCAAAAGCATGTGTAAAATAATATGAAAAAACAGAAGGAATTTACAGCAATTTTTGCTAC